GGTAAACTTGGAGAAAAGTCACCTTGTTCAAGTGTGGTACAGGTAAAATTGGAGTTAATTCCCCTTGCTCAAGTGGAAAGCAGGTAAACTTGGAGTAAAGTCATCTTACGTAAGTGGGGTAATTGGAGTTAATGCATTTATCTGAATCAAACCAACTGTTTCACCTTAGTACTTCTGATTTCATTAACTTGCATACAAGAAGGTTTTGTAACAATTTGATCACTAGCAAGATAGTTGGTTAACACATGGATGGTTTTTACTGTAAAGATATTGATTGGATATTAAGTACTTGAATTTGCATGTAAATAATTATTTTGATCCACTGCCATTGGTGGTTTTGTTCTATTTTGTGCTGCCGTGGTATGTAAATATGTAACAAAACAAGATAGCTGTCACAAATAAATAAAGGGTTTTTCAAATCAGTTGATACTTTGTATTCTAGATACTGGTTATTATATGGATGTAATGAAACATAAAAAGAGATCAAAAACAAAAATTCAGAACCTGGATATTACAGGACAGCTCATAATTAACTTGCACTAAAAATTCAAATTAGCCCTTAGAATTAGAAACTATTCATAGTACATGTAATAAATATCTATAAACTAATCTACTGATTATTGCCTGTTAATTGATACATCTCCAGAATTTCATATACATTTTGTTCATGTGTTGGTAAATCTTTCACAAAATTTTTTTTAGAAAAATTATTAATGCACTAGAAGGCTCAACACATCTCACGAGTTTCTGGCTGCTAACCATTTCAGAGATGAAATTGTATAGTATATGGTATATTAAATTGCAGTATGAATTCCCAATGCCCTGAAGATTTATAATCACAATACCGGAATGATTTCTTATGATTAAAATTAAATTAATTCTTGTTGAAATAAACCTTAAGGACAAGAAAATTTTGTTATAATGTCAGTAATTTCAGAAATTTTAGTAATTTGTAAAAAGAATTGCAAATGTAATGCCTCAACCCAGGTGCTTCAAAAATTAATGATATCTATTTTGAACTTTATAAGAAGGTTAATTTATTTTATATGATCTAATTCTAATAAAAGGTAATATCGTGCAGTGGAAATGATTTATAAGATATAAAAGATTATACATCATATTCCATAGAAAATATCTGCTTATTCATAGATAAGATGGTAGCACTGTCTGCCATTGCCAAGTCTTGACATCCAGTTTAGTATCATGACAGAACAATTTATGTAGGTATTGAAAATATATGGTCGAAAATGATTTGGTTGTCAACATGTCAGAAAAATTAAACTTTTAATCTTCACCTAAAATTGGGATCAAGATATTGTCTACTCTTACTAAAATGTTGCCTTAAGCAAAGATGTGAAAGGGAATATAAATAGTTATTTGCATCCATGAATGTGTCGCTTTCTGTCTGTGTAAATCCTCAATCACCCTGACATTACTGACATTCTACCCACATGGCATTTATAGAATATACTTAGCCACTTGGTAAATCTACATTCAACTTAAGCATGAAGAAAGGATAATTGTCTCTCAAGGCATTGACTTTCAAGGTCATATGTCAAAGATCATCAGGTACAGCCAAGGTTTGAGGTGAAAACTTTGTGAAGTTGGTAAATCAACTTAAGCACGAAGTTAAGATAATTCTTGTCTCTCAAGCGGTCAAGGTCAGAGGTCAAAGTTTAAACTGAGGTCAGCGGTTCAGGAACAAACTAAAGTGTTTTCAGTCTTTTTCAAACTTTGTTTATGAAAAGAGGATTATTATTCAGATCACCATTTTCATTCTAAAACTCCCATTCAAAATATTTGGTGTTCTGAAATATGCTCTTTTGTGTCCTCAAATGTTACCATCAACTTGACCATCATCATACAACAGCCATTTAAATCATATAGTGTTGAGATATCTTTTTGTGTTTGTGTCCTGTTGTTGTTGTGACATATGCATCAGGCATGGGGTAATGCAAATTTGTAATTGTAATGCATGGTAATGCATTACATTTTTCCAAGTAATTGCATGTAATGTGTAATGCAGCAATTTGTGCATTACATGTAATTGTAATATAATGCATTACTTTAGCAAAAAGTTGTGTAATTTCATGCATTACATGGCATTACATGTCATTACTTTTTTCACATACTACAACTTTAACATATTGTTGGAGTTTTAACTAAACCAAATTTAAGATTTCTTGATTAACTAAGAATATATTAATCATTAGAATATATTCTTTATTTCATCTTATTTCATACATTTTCCTGCATAAAGATTGATATATGAAAAGCATAGCTGTATTGTTGTCATAAGATCAAAGATCTATTTGCTTAAATAAAAGATAATTAAACTTTGTTATAAAACACTAATTAGTTTGTTTAACAATCAATATTTTCACCATTTAGACAATTGTTCATTAATTAAGGTCTATGTTTATTTTATAATTAGGGAAGTAATTCACAGTAATTAAATATTTTGTTTAAAATTAAAAGAAAAAACAACAAAAAATATATTTATAAAAGTAAAGTCAACGTTAAGTTAAAATAATTAAAAATTGTAAAAGTCAAATTAAATAGACTTTTTACATGTATACTTATATTCAATTCATGGAACAGTTACTGCATATGCTAGAATCTTTTGTGACTTCTAGTTGTTTTTTAAAATGTTTAATTTTTCTATTCACTAATAAAATTTTCAAATGGAATGTGTAATTCAAGGCATTACTTTGCAAAAGTAATTGTAATATAATGCATTACTTTGATAAATGCATGTAATTGTAATTGTAATATAATGCATGGTTTGGTCAAAGTAATTGTAATATAATGCATTACATTGCAATGTAATTCGCCCCATGCCTGATATGCATCATCATCATTATCATCTGTGCCCTCATTATGATCATCGTTGTTGTAATCATTATCATCATTGAAGTAATAGATACAAAATATTTGAATTAAAAGTATACTCTGATGAAAAAAGAAACTATTATACTTTCACAGTTAACAAATTGCACATGCTGAATATAACTTATTTTTTTGTAATGTTTCAGCATTTTTATACAATATTTCTTTAGTAAGCCAGATATTAGAGCTGTTAAAATTATTACCTCTCTGAGCATAAGTTTCCTCTAAATGTTTTTTATTCCATTTTGTGCTAAAATATATGAATTTCAAAGTTTAGTTTTGTGTGTTTAATTATCAAATCCTATTTGATGCTTGATCAAGGATGATATTGTCTGTTAGATTGATTATTATCCACTGATTTAATGCACGGATTGCATGGAAAATATGATTGAAAATTATTTTGTAATCACTATAAATTATGATCCTTTAAAAAGATGTACTTTTAGGCTAAACATTTAAATATGTGATTTAAACAATGTGTGCTTTAATTTTAGGCCAAATAAAAATATCTGTGTATATATCAACATAAAAGTCTATGATGTCAAATTATTATATTTTCTGGCAAATAATCTTGTATGGGCCAAAGAGAGGCGAAAGATACCAAAGGGACATTCAAACTCATAAGTAGAAAATAAACTGACAACGCCATGGCTAAAAAAAGAAAAAGACAAACAAACAAACAACAGTGCACAAAACACAACATAGAAACTAAAGACTGAGCAACACGTACTTTTGTTATCTTTTGGTGTAGAATGATATTTGGAATATTTGAACACCTGTATCATCATAAGACAATGTTTGGCATGCCATCATGACTTATAGACTTGCTTGTACTCTGACCTAAAGATAGAATTATACAAATATGTTTTGGCACTTGTATTCCCACCTGAAAACCAACTTTCATTATGGTATTTTTATGTTAAATAATTTGTATAGTAAGCATATTTTGGTAAACCCTAACTGATACATGAGTAAGAATCACTGGGATTATTGTTATTATCGCTATTTTCTTAAAATTAGCTTTGGTCTTTTTGTGTGTTAATTTTTCCATTTACAGCGACTAGAGTGATAATGGTTTTTCACATTCAAGGAGAGTGAGAACACATGATGTCATAAGCCTACGTCATAGAGGTTGCCTAGGAAAATAGCGACAAACAGATTATCTATGGTCTCTCAACTCGACCCTTCAATGAGATTTTAGATGAGAAACTCCCTCTCATTTTCAAAACCATATAGATAACCTCATAAGTCATAAAATTTGCCCCAAATTGGACTTAGTTATAAAAAAAAAATGTTCAACCACAGCAATTAGGTCAAGATCACAGAAAACTTTGATAGTCAGGCTTGTGTGAGGAAATGGTCTTTATTGTCAGGCGTCAAACAGCCTCTTTTCCAGTATGGTTTAGATTACAATTTAAAAGAGAAGACGTTTTTTGGGGTTCCAAAACAACACTATAAAATCAGTATGCAGAAAAACGGAAATAGAAATAGATATAGCATCAATTTAAAGTTTATTAATTAATATGAATAAAGAGAGATGTATGGTAAATGTTTATGAGGCAACAAACCAACAACACAAATAAGACATATATAGAGATCAATATAAATAATAATAATAATAATGATGACTTTATTTAAAGAGGGTGACGCAATTAGCATTCACTTATCTACCTTGAGGCCCTCACAAAAAACATACAGTACAACGAAGTATTACAGATATTTTTGGAAAATATAATTAAACTTTCACGCTAAATCTTCAAAAGTAGACGGGTGTCGAAAATATTTAGTCCAAACAACAGTACTGTGATGAGAAAGCATTTTTTCAAATGAAGGAACTGGTTTTTTTTTTTATTACAGCCTTAAATTATTATATTTTCTAAAGTAGCTGTAAGGTATTTAAATTCACTGTCTTTGCAGTAAGGCATTCTTGGGTTGAATGAGATGAATCAACTGATTCAGCCTGCAACTGTTGCCTATCATAAATATAATTTGTATTTTTTACTTAAAGCATATAAAAGGACAACAAAAATATCATTTTTTAAACACAATGGTATTGGCCTATAATATTGTGGCAATTTTTAAATGATGAGTTTAACTTGATATGTTTGCAGGAAGAGTTGTTAAACAGTTGTATACCAGGTGATATTGTAGAAGAAATGAAGGAAGATATCACGCAGAAGATGGTGTCACCCACAGATTCATTCTATGATCTATATGTTCAACAACATTCAGATGTCAGGTAAAAAAGGGTTATATTTTATGACTATAATAGAAAAGGTATTTAATCGAATCAGATATGTATCTGGAAATATACCAAAAACAACATCTGATACGAGTTTTAAGTCTATGTTGCATACAAAAATAAGAAAAGTAGTCTGATACCATTTTATACAGTATTCTATGTTAGAAGATATCTAAAGTTCATCATGTGGTAATGGATCATCATCACAGTATAATGGAAAGCTGTAATGAGAGGACATATTAGACAATAAATAGCTTAATTGAGTATTATCACATTATTATATACTTAGTAGTTGATACAAGTAAGTTGTATGTGTAATTCAATCAAATTGGCAATTGTGCTGTATCAGCAACCTGTGATGTCATGGTAACAAAGGCTTTATCAAAATCCCTAGTATTTATGATGTCATGTCATCAATAGAGCTCCTGAGATAATATTGGGTGTTCCAGGTTGATATGGGTGTGACAATGAAAAAGCCATATGATATTCTCTATTACTGCATATCCTACTCCGTGCTTATTTTTTTTTTGTACATTTATTTCAAAATTTACTTTTCATCTTATTTCCTGAAATCAGTTCTTACAAAATTAAAAGATTACTTGTTTTAATGGAAAAAAATATATGTTCTTTTCATTACTCAGAGATAAATTTCAAATACATGTAAAGGAAATAACAACTTTTGATTTTAAGATTTCTATTTATGTTTGTTTTAAAGTTAAGATAATATTTTGTAACAAAATAAATGGTTCCTATACAATGCACTCAATAGTTATACTCACAGATATATGTTATAATTGAGCACATTTTGTCTTTTTTATTAGAAATTAATTGGATCTTTAAAGAATATATAAGACCTAATGCTGTTTAAAGACTTTACAGAATGCTGTAAATTCAGAAATTTTTGCAATGTTTTAATTAATGGAAAAAAAGGTAGTGTCAGGTTTGCAATCATAAAAACTTGCATTCACAATTTCTGTAGTGTTTTTCATTTACAAATATTTTGCAATCTCATAAATTTTCACATTTTAACCAGTAATCAGTGATTCACAATAATAAATGCAAGCATTAATTACTAAATTTACAGTACCTCTCAATTGTAAAAGTCACATGATTGGTTATATACACCTCCTCTTTCATATTTACAGTGTAACATTAAATAAAAGTGGAATATATCTATGTTATAATGTAACAGACTGTATTTGTATAAAGTCCAGTATAATTATTTGACAACATGATATGTTCTCCAGTGCAGTCAATTTTTCTGGTATATATTTCAGTATTCTGTATGCAGATATTGTCAACTTCACACCACTGGCAGCAGAATGCACTGCTTCAGAACTTGTAAAAATGTTAAATGAACTGTTTGGAAGATTTGACCAGCTTGCAAAGGTATTTTAACTGATTTAATATATGTCATTTTGGATATTGTAGACAGAGGCTGAAACTTCTTGACATGAATAAATGTAGATGTGGGATATTCATTAAAGAGACAGCAACCTAGTGTTTAGAGGCAAACATATGGTCATCAATATTTGACAATATTTATTCAATATTTGACAATATTTATACAATATTTGAAGCTCTTAGCACTCTGAGTCTAAACAGGTTGTTAATAAATTGAACAGAGACTATTAAAGATCTCCATCAACACAAAATTCCCCAATGACAAAAATATTAAGATAAAACAAAAGGCAATACTCTGATAAGGTTCATGACTTATGAGTCTTGATTCTGGCTTTAGTATCTGTCATCTCTTTTTTATAAACAGTTAAATGACAGTAAAAGATTTCCCTAATTCTACATAATTTGACAGTTACTTTAATACATGTGCTATTAAAGTAGTAGCTTTTTCCTAGTTGTCAATGGGCAAAGGAAATTAATACTAAAAAACTTCTACATGTCTTTATTAGAGTATATATGAATAAAATGAGATGGGATATATGTTAATGAGACAGCAACCCAACAACACAATACCCAAAAATCATCTGTTTTGTTTTTCAGAAAAATCATTGTATGAGAATCAAGATTTTAGGAGATTGTTATTATTGTGTGTCTGGTCTACCTACACCTAATGAAAACCATGCAGACAACTGTGTTAATATGGGACTCAAGATGATAGATGCTATTCGGTAAGTTCATATAAATACTGTTGTGTTTTTGACCTGTGTACACCTGCATACACCTGACTCAGGTCAAGTTCAGGAACTATGTGAATATGGAATGAAAACCAATGTTTCCAAGCTTTCTTCAGGTGAAAATACCTTGTTTTTGCTTGAGTTCCGCCTTAGCAATTTGTGGTTTTTGTTACGCCTGCCAAGTTTTTGTTTGTGATATATCATTGTCCTTGACCTCATTTTCATGGTTCAGTGACTGCTTGAAAAAAAAATCTGATTTTTTGTCAAGTGAAACACTCACTTATTATGAGTAATAGGATAACAATATATGGTATAATGGATCCTTGCAACGTCTAGTCATGTCCATCAGGTAGGGTTCACCTGGCTTCAACCTCAATTTGTGGATCAATGATCAAGGTTAAAGTCATGTGGTCAAGTTTGCATCTCTTAAATTATAATCATTAGGTCAATTATATTTGGTGTATGGAAAAATTGCAAGATGTTCGTGTCTTTCTGGCAGAGTTCATATGACCTTGACCTAATTTTCATGGTTTATTGGTCAATGATAAGTTTTTCTTAATTTGTCAGTTTATCCCATACTATAAGCAATAGATCAACTATATTTGGTGTATGGAATGGTTGTAAGGTTTACATGTCTGTATGGCAGGGTTCATATGACCTTGACCTCATTTTCATTGTTCATTGGTCAATATTAAGATTTTGTGTTTTGATCTGTTTTACAGGTACTATTAGGGAAGGGACCATTATATTTGGTGTATGGAATGACTGTAAGGTGTACATGTCTGTATGGCAGGGTTCATTTGACTGTTACCTTATTTTCATAGATCATTGATAATGATAAGTTTATGTGATACTTGTAGTAAAACCTTCATATTACAGACTTTCAACATAAATTCAATGATAAGATGTACAGGCGAGACATTTCAGTGTGTGCACTCTTTTGTAATCAAATGCCTACAAATTATGAGATTATTTTTTTTTCAAAACAGTGCATTATAACATTCAAAATAAAAATGACCTGTTGTAAAAAACAATTAGCATAGTTGAAATCTAAATAATGTGAGGAGAAAAGAAACAAAGCTACCTGATATTTGTATGGGATGGAAAAAAATTGAAGTTCAATAGTTATCTATTGGTTTGATAAATGCCACCTTTTGAAGAATATAAACTAAAATGAAGAAAAGTATCCTTGCATAAATTAAGGGCTGTGGCATAAAAATTAAACATTTTCACAAGACAACTACAAATAAGTGACTGTTAACATTGAAACTGGTGCTGAACATTAAAAGGAGGAAGGGATTCCGAAGTTAAAAAGGGGAAATTGTCCCTTCCTCTCTGATATACATATTTTGGGAACAAGACTTTATCATTGTCCTCCTTCACAATTCTTTTCAACCATCAATTTTAAAAGTCAGCACTATATATAGCATGAATTTTTATTTTTTTTCAATTTATGCTTTTATGCAGATTTCATATTTTCATTGAACAATTATAATCAATTTTTTATGGGATTTAGTGATAGTTGCCTAGTACTGATCAATTAGCCTGATTTTTCTGCATCAAACAACCCAAGTATAACATATAAAATATTCAGTAGAACTTTTACACTGGAAAAAGGATGATCTATTACACAATGATTTATTATACCTTGTTAATGAATTTATAATGTAAGTTTTTATTTTAAGAACAAAACAAAACTAGGTGAACCCATTTTTCTGCAATTCATCATAATTCAGAGGATATTTTGTAAATAATTAATTTTAACCCTATTTATTACTTTTGTAATATTTTTACATGAACATGACATGTCAAAAAGAGATTAATTTCATGTCTGTCTGGTGTATGAAAGGCATATTTTAGGTATAAGTTGCATATCCATATAATCATGTGAATATTATTTTGTGATCATATAGCTGCTAGACAGTTTTATATTGATCAAGTTTACCAGGCCACACAAAATATGTATTGTGTTTACATAGTACATGAAAAAAGAAGGCGTTGGTTAGTCAGATATTTTCTTTATTTTTTAAAAGTTTTTTTTTTTACTGAACAAAGGCATTATTTGTATTTATGTAAAGGTTAAAGTTATATGTATGGAAATCTTAAAAATTGATTGGCAGTTCATTTTTCTAACGTATATCTGTTGTTTTTAAACTATCTGGTAATATTTTTCACAGTGTTAATCATGTATTTTGCACTACAAATTCTTTTCATAAGTTTAAATGTGTTCATACCATAGTTGCAACAGCCAAAAATATTGGATCTGATATTGAAAGATGAAAAAAGACCACAGTTTTTATTTTTTACCATAAGGAATTAAATAAAAGCAGTCAGGGGTTAAAAAGAAAGGGTTGTATGGGTAATCAGAAAGATAACAGTTTTAAAGGGCCAGGTGAGCTATGCCAACACTTAGTTCTGTTGTTGTCACATCATTAACTTTTTGAAGAAAAAAACTTCACCTCTGAAACCACTGGACCAAATTTAAACAAACTTGAAAGATAAATTTTTGACAAGTGAGTGATTCTGGCTCTTAGGAGCCTCTTGTTTTTTAAATTTTGCCTTATGATCATATTTGTTTTTATAAAAGGTGTAATGCGTAAAGTTCAAAATGATACTTGTAGTGTATGTCTTATTTTACTTTTGAAACAGAGGCAAAGCTAGATGAATTGGAACTTGAAATGAAATGGTTTAACATGTGATAAAACATTGCTTAACTCACAACTTTCCCTTGGTTAGCTTTAACAAGTCAGAAATACGGTTATCAATTTTCCTTCGTCTTATCATATGTTTTCTTGATTTTGTGTGTGATCTTTATGACTCACATTTTACAATATACTTTTTGAGTCTTCATAACATTTGTGATTCTTATTCTACATAAATTCCTAGTTAAGCCACGTGAATGAATTCATACTCCTCTGAGCCTCTGGTTTATTTATTTACAGAAGACAGAGATTTTATTTTTCCATCCCCATAGCTTGCATCAACACTCTCTTATCAAATCAGAAACATTTTCATCATTGGGTTTTCCCCTTCCTTTATAATAATGGTCCATTAAATTGTTTTTTTCCTAGAACAGCATATTTATTGACAGTTTTTTGTCAAAATAAATGAACTGTTACAATGACAATATTGTTTATGAATTGATTAATTAAAATGATGACACTAATGATTTGTAAACAAAACAGATATTTAATAAAGGTGTCATCATAAATTACACAGAAACCAATCAGAGAAGTGTTTTTGTGAGATATTGGGTTTTAATTCAAATGTGAGAAAAAGTTAAAATAGTAATTTATTTTTGTTTTGTAAATATAGAACTATAGGAAAGAAAAATGTGAAATAGAAAAAAGACAAAAAATTAAGAGACATCAACTAGAGAATGGCATGCAGTAAAACACACAGAAAAATACACATGTAAAAAACAGACAATATACTTCATTTTGAGAAATACAAACATATAATTCCAATGTTATGTTAAATCTTATTTCATTGGTGAGTGCCATACCCACACAAAAAGTTTTTTATATTTAGTTTATGATTGATAGAAAAACAAAGGATATGGGGTATCCATCCATGACACAAAATCAGTACATGCACAGCAAAAAAACACACAAAAATCAAAAGAACAGTGCTTTTATTGCTGTTCTTCATCTCAAAGTCACAGTGAGGCCTTCAACATGGAGCAAAAAAAAAACTTTCACCTTGCTGCAAGTTTAAGACTGCCCCTAGCACTGGCTTGAGCAGAATTCTTTGCAACTATAATTTGGATAGACTTTGCAAGATGTAACACCACCAAATTGGGGCCAGTCAAAAAAGAACATACTGGAAAGTAGTACATATTTCAAACAAATTAGTAACTACGCATAGGTGTAAATATAAAACTATGTAGAATATATTTTAGTAATTAAGGTATCAGATGAAAGGTAAAGGAGAACACATATTGACTAATAATTTTTAATAATACAAAAATGTATGAATGAATTCTTAAATTGAGGACATATATTTCCTGTTTCTCAGATATGAAGTACCAGGTTTGGTGTATCCAAAATTCTGGTAACCAGTACGGTCTGATGTATAAATAACGGTATATTGATCCCACCCTCTTAAAATGTTTGGAAGTGAAAAATTAAAAGTGGATAGGATAGTGAGTCTGCCAAAAGTAGACTTCAATATACGCCTTCAAATTAACCTTCATTACTTTAATTAAAAAACGTAAGTGAAATAAGGTTCTTTGGAATGGTAAGCATAGCATATGGCACCCACCAACCATATCTCCTTTAATATAATACTCAAAGCCAGTACCTTAATTGTTATACATGTATTGTGTCACAGTGCAAATGCCATGTGAGAATAAAACAAAATAAAGAATTTTTATTGAATATTTTCCCTAGATATTCAATAACTAATATACAGGAATACTTAATTGAAGCTGTAGATTAAGTAAAATGTAAGCAGCAAAGGTGTAATAAAATTGATAAATTTGTGTTAAAAAAAAAGAGAAGTTTCTATGAGTTTTAGTTTAGGTAAATTGAAATTTTAATACACATCCGGTATAGTAATGTTAAAGTTGTATTCCTTTTCATTCATATTTCAATGAAGAATAAAGTTATATGTAACTGTCGGGAAGGAAGGATATTGGTAGGGTGTAGATGAGACAACAATCTAATCAAATACCAGGAAGTAAATAAAATAAATTAGCAACACTGTTATACTTGTGCAAATTTACATTTTTAAGTCAACAAAACATGTATCAACTTTATAACAGTAATAGTTAATAGCTTCTGTGTACAAATCATCATGTCCTTTATCAGCTTCTTTGTACAGCCTCTTATTGAAACAAGGTTTCTATAACTTACATTGACCCAAATTTTGTGTAAACCTTGCTGATTCAAACAAAAATTTTTCTGAAACTGACATTATCAAGATGCTTGATTTCTTGATTGACAACATATTTATTACGTTTGGAGGACATGTTTTTCAACAGACTGTCGGTA